ATATATATATATATATATATATATATATATATATATATATATATATACACATATAAAATAAAGGCAGTTCTGGATTCATTCAATTAAACAAAAAAAACAATTGGGCCTTTTTGATGTGGTGCTCCATTAGTGTTAAAAGTCTTTTTTAAGAGACACATTTTTTCCCTTTATTAATATTTCACCATATTTTAAACAATTCCCAACGTTTGAACAAATGTATAATGATTCCTACTCTGAGAAAACAACATTTTTAAAGAAACTCGACAACGATCTAGATATCTGGTTATTACCTGGTTAGCTGATTAATTAGTTGATTATTCTAGAGTTTGATTCAAACCAGGCTTTAGACAGTCTCATTTAACCTTATAGTGTTTTCATTGTCCAGTCAGGAGTTATAAATCATTTTAAATATAGTTGATTAAAATGCTTAAGCCTTGAGAGCTTTCAATGTCACAGCCATCTATTAGCAATGGACATATTTAACTCTAATTTAGTTTTGTGATCTAACAAATAACAGTAACTGTGGTTTATTATTACAACAGTGTAAAAGCAAGCCCACTTAACCATCCATTGTAGACAGACATTAAGAGAGTGGCTCCTCTCGAAGAGAAACGGACTGTTTTTGATTAAACTTCTGACTTCTTTCACTGTAGCGATTAAAATCAGAATTATAATTTCCTAAAAACTTCAGGTAGTCTTTATAAGAGATTTAAAAAACCGGTAGTTAATCTGTCCGTGTCCTACCTTGACTTAAAACCTATTTATCGAGGGTCTTGTCTTCTCTTCAGTCTGTCAAAGTCACGCTCGTTACGCAGCGAGGATCCTAACCGGCTAGCTTGTTAGCCGCAGAAAGCCGCTGCTTTTGTCTGTTTCAGATGAAGAAACTAAACAAAAGCAGCCGAACGGTTTAATAAAATCACCTGATTCCGAGTGTCTTGAAGAGAATGACTTCCCCGGCTCGGTTTTCCAGTCTGTCGCAGAAAACACCTCGCTATGCAGCTCGGAGTCACCCCTCTACTGATGGCAGCCATGTTGGAAACGAAGAAGCTGCTACGGAAAGAGAGAAGGCTCAAGCTATTCGGCTCGACGTAACAAATCGCAAATATTAGATTGAAATGCCGTCCTAATTTATGTGCAACACAAAATTTACTTATATAATCTTCTTAACAAGAATATAATCTAACTGCTTATGAATGTTCCTTTTTTAATCTTATAAATCATAACAAACTTTAAAAAGGACTTTTAATTTTTGTTAAAAAAGAAAGCTCCCCCTTCTTTTGATGACACAAAGAAAACGATATGGTTTTTGACAAGTTCAAAAATTATTTAAACCTAATCTCAAATTTAGAGAAACCCACAACAGATTAAGCCAAGTCACAATTTATTCAACAAAGTGAAGCCAAGAAGGAAACGTGTGAAAACAAAGTCCAGAGGAAAATGAGATAATATGTTATTACATTTATAATGTTTCCAACCGGGCATCCACATTTGAATTTTAGTTTTACGTCATTTTAATCTTCAATGTACATTTTTAGGAAAATCAATACAGTTGACAAAAAAAGAAAGAAACACACTCACAAATTTATATATTTACAATTTTTGTGACCGTGGACACAATTAATTATGTTGCCTGTTGAACAGGATGCTCAGAAACCTTAAATCTTTTGACAAAATCTTAAACAATAATCAGAAATCATGTAGATTTGTATATTTCTAGTCTGATTTATATATAATTAGACTAATTATAGTTGACCAGTGCAATCAAACCTTAAAAATGTATAAAAATAGTGCAAAAAAGTGTCTGAATTTAACATATTCGAAATGACAAAAACTACAACCACAATGCAAAGCAGGTGAACCAATTTTATGGGTAGGTGATGTAAATAAATGAAGTTGTTTCAAAGAGAAACCAAAACCAAAGCTGTGATGATTCATAAAGTGATATTGAAATTTGTTTTGTTGTGGGAAAAAGAGTCCCGGACTTTCCCACACACCCTGAATGCATCAGAAACCAGTTGCATAAAGATACAGTTGATTATCAAGATGATGCTGATGGTTCTGAAGGTGTAGGTGTCTGTCAGCCTCCATGAACCTTTGCCACCATCTGGACCACAGATTTAGACGTGATTTTGTAGTTGGACAGAGGTGCTGAGTCCACGTCCAGAGGTTTGCCTCCATGGATCAGTTGCACGTTTCTCAATGAGGGACCTGCACAAAAATAAATAAATTAATGAATTAAAAAACAGGGAAAAAGAGTTAAACTCATCTTGTTCTCCTCATAAAGTCTGATTCTGCTGTGATGAAGCTGCACACTCAATTTTGCACACAAAGTTTAGCCAGTAAGAAACTTTGCATTTAAATAGAAATAATAAAAGTGAGAGAAATTGGCATTTTCTGTGCTGAACGACTTTAGCTGAAAATTGCAAAAGAAGCTGTTGTTGCAGTTGTTTAAGCTAAAGAAGCAGAAGAATAGCTATGCCAAAATAACAAAAAGTAATCTAACAAAAAGCTAAAAGTAGTAAAATCTTGACTAAAAGCAACAAAAACTATAAACGTCAAACTAAAAGTGGTGAGCTAAAAACTAAACGTAACAAAAGCTAGCTAAATGCTAAACAAAACAGCAAAATGCCAGCTGAAAGCAGTAAAAACAACTAGATAAAAGGAGCTTATGAAGAACAAATAGAACATGTAGGAGCAGACTTTTGGAGAGAACAAGGTTTTTTAAGGATCTCAGAGCATTTCTGTGGGAAATATTTGTAATTTGAAAAGTTTGAAAGCTACAAAGCTGATTTGTGACAATAACAAAGTAATACCGTATTTTTCGGACTATAAGGCGCACCGGATTATAAGGTGCATTAAGTGTAACAAAACAGTCAGATAAGTCAAACTTTATTCACAATAACCACATAAAATAGGTTCAAGGTCAATAAGCACAAGCAGAATTAATACATAAGGCGTACCTGATTATAAGGCTCACTGTCGAATCTTGAGGAAATTAAAGGATTTTAAGTGCGACTTATAGTCCGATAAATACAGTGATACAAAAGAAGAGGAACCAGTGGTGTGGTGCTGAATCAACATTCACATAACAAATTGTCTGTCTTGTAAAAGCTATAAGAAGCCTCAGTAGTTTGCTTCTTTAGGTGAAATTACCATTTGGGAACTCCTCGGCTGCGCACTTCTTCAGCTCCAGCACTGTCATCTGACTCACAGGTTTTCTGGTGTTAAAGTAGCTGATCTCCCCGGTGTTGGAACAAACAGCGATCTGATCTGTTCTGCACATGGTGACCAGCGTGTGTTGAGCTGCTTGATCCTCGATCTGAATCAGGACTGCCTTTATCACCTGCTCTTATAAGCACTTTGAAAAAAGAAGGTGGGGCTGACACTTTCATGAGCTCATCATTTTTTAATGTAGGGGAATCCGCTGCAGTTTTGATGTCGGAAAGAAAAAGTGAAAGCAACTTTGTGCCTGCATTGAACACCTCACAGTTTGTGTTGCATCAGTGTTTCATAAAAACATGCAGATTTTAAGTGTAAAACAATCTGAAGTAGTTTTTTTTTTTTTTTTTAATAAGACATTCACCATCACCACAACGTTGACTCCAGAGCAGCTCCAGCTCCACAAAGATGTTCATGAACCGCATGAATATAGATTTGCTGTGATGGATGTTGTTATTCTGAGAGTAAATTAAAAAAAAAAGTGCACCATCAGGAGAAAACGAAACAAAACATCTAGCTTCTGCAACAGGAAAACACCTGATTTCATTTGGTTTCAGTCTAATCTTTACTGATGTCATTGAAGGAACATATAGAAGAACTATTTTAGTATGACCTATAATAAATTGTTTGTTGAAGTAGACAAAGCGAGATGCAGCTGT